CAATTTTTGGTGGTGTATATTATCTCACTGTTTTAGTAGATACTAAAACAACTATTCACCTCAGTGTCGGTGGTTAGCGGTGGATATTTACCTCGCTGCTTCGCGGCTCGGTAAATATCCACCACTAACCAGCTCCACTTCGGTGAATAGTTGTTAAATATCAACATATGATCTCCTTAAAAAATAATCAGAAAGTGATCACGTGCTAGGCAACCATATCTCGTGTGAATTTAACTGGCTTTACAACGTAGGCTCGATTACCAGTCACTGTTCGGGAAAATGAGCCCGCACTCATCCTTCCGAAGTGGAAGATCAAAGACCGGACCTGGGAGACGGTGGAGATCGAGCCTATTTACAACGCTGACTTCAGTTTGAAACAGAAAATATCTTCTGGAAAAAAAATGCACGGACACGTGTAAGCTTCTTTAAAAACTAGCTTTGCCCAAATTTCTCGTACTGCCCAAAAAATCTGAGTTGCCCAAAATTTGGGGGGGCTACAGCCCCCCCCGCCCCCTCCCCCGGCCCGTACGCCTATGATTCTCACTCACCCATCGTTTAGACAGCATGTTTGCTTAAATTGCCTCATATCATTTACTTGTTAGGATATTTGTTAAAATTAATACGAAAATATGCAAGAATTAAACTTCAGACCCAATATTGTGACACTGCACGAAATAATCAAATGTAAAATTACAGAAATTTTTATATGTATTCACCAAATACTAGATGAGGTTTTCACTCTCACTCGTCGCAGCTTAAAAATTAAAATACGAGAGTATTCATTTGATTATCATTATTGCGTCACTGTTTCAAGAATCGTATGGGGTATTGTGTTTTGGTGGATTCAGTGAACGCTGTACCTCTTCAAAAATTTGTGTTTAAATTAAATTGCCACACCTATTGATCTTAAATTTCAAACTGAGATATTCGGCTTAGATTCGATTTTTAAATCGCTAGGTTTATTTGTTTTTTTTTCTTTTTTTTAAAGAGCATAATGCCTTGGAACAAAGCTTTTATCCGTAAATACTCCCTCGTAAGCCCCAATGTCATACTCCAAACAAACCTTATGTTTGATATGCTTAAAGACGCGAAAACCAGACAAAACTGTGCAAAGTGCCTCAACACGCATTTCCTTTCCTCCTTCAAAGGGCTCTTCAAATTCCTGCCGGGCTCCTAATTTTGAAAGTTTTCTGGTATCGAACTTAAGCCGACTGTAATGCTGTTTAAAAGTTTCGAAGAGTATTTACCCCTTACCGATTGTTGTTTTCTTAAGTAAATAAAAGTGGAAACACTTACAGAGAATAGAAATTTATCACCTCTTCTCAAATTACTCTTAAGCATAAAACTCGTGACGTTCTGAAAAGGAAGTCATAGTTTGCATATGAATAACCTCAATGTGCCTTGCTAATAAAATATCCATATAGATAATCAGTGGCGGCTATAGGGGAGGGGCCCTCCCATTATTATGGGTAAAAAATTAAACGCACATCGAAGAAAAGTCGGCAGGTGAACACCCATAAACAAAAACGGCCCCCCTAGTTCAAGGGCTAATGAGTGAGGGAAAACAAGGTACCGAAGACGATAGAAAGTACAATCATAGAAAGGTAAA